ATAAAAAAAAAACAAAAAACGGTGTTAGGTGTTCAGAAAATACATACATGCTCTTTCTTTATATAACCTACCATCGACGGAGTAAACAATAACATTGTCCGTAGCTTTGAAGAGACCAATTTCCCCGCTTTTGTTAGTTGTATTTTCATTCTCCATATAAAGTAACACTTTTAAACCATGCGACGCCATTTGGCGTCCAGTTGCAGCACCAATATCACTATTCCTTTAGAAATAAATAATAATACATGTGTCACAATACAATCGCTATAAAATAATGTTACTGACCTTAAATTAATTGATTTTGTACACATTATTACAACTATTGGCCATTGGTGGTAGTTGGTTGGTGTAAGTCTCCTAGCGCCTCCTAATATTAATATGGCGAGATCGGTTACTCCTCTTGCAAGTATGTCCAATTGTCGTGGGAGGGAAAGTCCTTCTTTTTCAGCTAAATTTTCAATTTTGGCACGTACAAAAGATGGTATGGTTGGTATTATTAGTCCTTCATCTAAAATACATTAATTTTTTTTACATTAACATATTTTTCAGTTAATCTTACTGTAGAACTCTTCACCCGTAACAAAATCTGTAGATCCATCGAAAATATTTTCAATTTGTCTCAGTCTTACAGGTTCACTGACCAATATATTCTCATCATGTCGGTATTTTTGCATTGATATTGAAGTTTGACGCACCAAATCTGGCTTTTGCTCAGACTCAATTATGTCCCAAATGGCTTGTTTGTTAAATAGTGCTAAATTTCCCTCAAAATCGAAATCCTCATGTATCAGCGGATCATCGACTGACGTGCCAAATGTTTGGCTATGTTTCATGTTATCCTTTCTAAGTTGTTTTCTTTGTTTACGATTATTGCCATTGTTATTTGAACCGTTATTAACATGTCTTGTTTTTGTATTTCCGTTTCCATTACCAGGAATATCAGGTGCATTTGGAAATCCACCATTTAAGATTTTCTTTGATTTTATATCTATGGGCTTGGAACAAGAGGCCGCTTCTTCACCCACCATATTCGCAGTATCAAAGTTATCAACATCGTATACATTCACAGAATTTGGTGAGGATGGAAATTGTGTACTTCCCAAACGTGCCTCGACTTTTGGCGGAAGCAAGTTTCCGAAAAACTCTTTAACACTGGAGTTAAAATGCATTTTTCCATTATCAAATACCTTACTTTCCAAACTTTGTACACTATGGCATATAATATTAGTAATTATTATCAAATGTTAAAATTTTACTTACCTTCGATATTTGCCAGAGTCAAATTTCACTTTTGATATTCCTTTTGCGAGCTCCCCCACAGGATTCTCATCTTTTGGGAAAGTGCTATTTGGTAATGAGGAAGCCTGATCTCTTTCAAATACATCATTTCTTTCAGGTAAGGYCAGGGCAATTTTACCAGCATTAGCGAAATTTGGCAGCTTAACAGATGCAGGTTTTTTGAAATCAGTGGTTGTGATAGTACTATGTCCATTAAATGTTGGTAATAGGGAAATGCTAATTATATCTGCTGATCTGTAATTGCAAAACTTCGATTATAATGATTTGATTATATATTAGGGAAAATATTTAAACATACCGTAAATTCACTTCCGCATCTTGCTTTTTTAATGGTATACCATTCCGAAATGCTCGTACAATAGTTATTACGTCTACAGTTATATTTTTTATAACCCCTTGAAATACACCTAAATTTGCGTCGCACTCTATGGAAACCGCTTTGCCTCGCCAACCATCTCCCATTTCTTTAAAGTTTATGATTTGTAAATAGAAATATTAGGTATATGTGCTATATGTATATATTTTCACTTATGTTTACAATGATAAATTATATTTGTTATAAAGCTTTTAATGTTGTAAAGGATTTTGATCTCAAAAGTAAAAATTCATTTAAGTACCCGGCTGCAAATTAGCCAACCACTATGTAGTCAATATTAGAGATGCGTTAAAATATCGATATTTGTAGGCGATTTATGAAATATCATCCAATCAAGTATTGAATTTATAACTGAATAGCAAAATTACTTCGAAAAAGTGACAAAAATCTTTTAATAAATGATAAAAATTACAGCAACATGAATAATGCCGTTAGAAAACATTCTCGAAATATATTGTCAAAATGTAACATAAATAATCGATTATTCATATATCGAAAAATACCGTAACAATGGCTTATCGTAAAAGTAGTCGGCAAATTTAACAAACTGGTAAATTTCTAAAGTTTCATATTAATCAATGACAAAAACTAAGTTATATTTTAAAACCACTTTTATGGTTAATCTGATGAAAGACCTCGCTTCTCAAATTAATCGATAACGGAAAAAAATGATCAGATATATGCATAAATACCCATTTACACCTAAAATAAAAAGCATATGCTCACATGTGCACGTACAGTGCGTTCAAAACTAACGTTTTTGCTTTACGCGGTTAGTTTGCGTTAAGGTGTTTTTTTTTTTCAAATTAACACATGTTTAATTGCAATAACTGACGCGTACATTTCGGTCAGTTTTTTCAATTAGGAATAAAGTGTTGTCCAACTCCATCCAGTATCCGAGCGCCTCAAAATAACTGTTTTTGATACGATTTCGCATTGTCTGTCAAAATAATAAATTTTGGGCATAGAATTTAAAACACCCATTCTGAGTTTTGAATTTTCAACAATACATCAAGTGATTTAAACTTGTTAGCTATCAATTAAAAATTTATACTCCCAATCATCGCATGACAAAACATTTCAATTTCGCCATATCCGAGCCGAGGTCACGTCCACTTTCTCAACATTTTCAAACCTCATATGCCCTACATAGTTCGATTGTAGTTTATTTTGGAGTTTATCTATGACACTTTATAAGTATTCACATAAGGGCATTGTGGGCGTGGAATTCATCCGCCTATCTATAATACCAACCATCCTTGGGTGCCAAAGAACATATGTTCATGTTTCTTCACGATATCTCAATTTTTACTCAAGTTATCGCTTGCACGGACAGAAGGGCAGATTCGGAATTCAACTCGTCTCGGATGGCAAGCCAGGAAGAGGTAGGAATCGCGTGATATCTAAAAGTAAAAAGAATGATTGGAGCAATGCATTATTTACAGATGTGTCAACTTTCATATGGTTCAACCTCTTGAGACGTGTTTGGCAAAGACAAGGTGAAGCAAATATTTAAAGGAGTGATAAGGACTCCCAGAAGGGATCCTGCTCTCTACTCATGGATTTTAATTTTTGAAGTACTTCATAGAAATCCTCAACAACTTTAGAATGTTAGAATTTTATAAAAAGGGTGTACTGAAGGCAGCTGCAACGCTTAACGACAAAGTTAACCATGATTAGAAACTGCAGAAGATAATTATCCGACGTATGAACAGACTCAGTACTCACTGGAAACAAGGAACACATACTGTTACTTTCGACTGGCGATCAGAGTCATTTTGGAAATTAATATAGACAAGGCTATAATTCTTATTCATCAGCTTAGTGATTCTGTATTTGAAACAAAAATTGTTTGATATAATTTGGTATTTATATTTTTATAACAGGAAGGTCGTAAAATTATTATTATGTAGTAATAAACAGAAAAATAAGTACACAAGTCAGCGTAAAAGGCCTCGACACCGCGCTTTACCTTAAGTGGCGGATTTTTTCGTTGCTATTGGGAAATTTACAACTACTACCAGAGATATTAATCGACTCCAGCAAAGCCTTGACTACCCTCAATAGCTTTTACTAATTTATCTTTTAATTGGACGTAGCCTTCATAAGGTGGTAAATCCAGACGATTGAAACTGAAATAAACATATACGAGATTATCTTTCGAACCATTTGTAAGCTAGTGTTGAATGTAAATACCAGGTATGTGCTCGAGGATAGTTATTAGGAGTACCCCACTTTTCAATAGTGAACATTTGTGGGCCATTGGAACCGTACAACTCCTTAAAGCCATTCATGGGAACGCGTGAAGTGCCGGTTACAAACTGTAATAAGCGCGAACGCATCTCGTTTGAAAAGGAGAGTACAGCGCGCCAAAACCATTGTATAATTATATGATTTTGGTGATAATCTCCCTTATAGAGGGTATTTTCTCGCCAATCTTTCACATCAATATTTTGTATTCCACACATTAATAATTCCAACTCGTGCTCGTCAAATATCTTAATTAAATTTAATGGAATTATTGAGCCAAAGCCATCCAAAAAAGATGACATCTGTTCTTTAACACGTGCAACGAATCGCCATTCAATGACAAGCCTGGAAGAAACAGTACAAATAATCTACTGAAAATATTTAAGTTCATAACTCCTCACTTTATATATTCATCCTTGTTCTCGTCAGTAACCTCAATATTAGAGCCTCCTGGCTTTAGCTCGTGTTGGCTCTTTTGGCCAAACGTGTCTTCGTCTAAAGAAAATGTCAATTCCAATTGCCGTGGGTCGTTCTCTTTTATCCACATCAAAGAATTATAATACTCGGTATCAACTGATTCCATATCTTTCAAATCAATTGGCTTTTGCAACATCATTTTATAAAATGGACGTATGAAAAATGCATCTAGGAGTTTTCCATGGTAGACAGCCATACCGGCAATACGACCGATGAACCTGCAAGATATTATATAGTTGTTTAATGTACTATTTGAAACATATTTATATTAAAAAAGTTTCATTCGGATAAATGTGCTGTTAAGTTGTATTTAAGTTTTTTTCCGAGTTTTTGATGATAATTATCCGAAAATTTGTATGTGTTTCCAAATATATGCAAGTAATTTTTTTATTAATTATGGTTATCAGCATAAGTTAAAATGCTAAATACAAACTATTTTTTACGAACTTGAAATAACTTAAGTGCTCCTCATTGCACAAACCACTGCCATTATTAATTTGTAGTGTATAATTATCCATAGCTGAATATTCAAAGAGTCCATAGTATGGGTTAAACATTTCCTTCGATAACAAATAGAACCACTCTCTTGCCAGACCTCCATAATCTAAAAGGGAAAAATGCTTTTTTATATTTTTCAAAATGAAAAAGAAAATATTTCACTTACCCAACCCTGTTTCACCTTCGAACTCTACCCACAATTTAGTTTTTAATAAATCGGTTTTGGTCACAGAGTTTATGATTCTGTAGGAATCCTCTAAAATTGAGGAACGGCGAATGCGAATCTCAAATTTATTCGGAACATTTGTCTGAAAAAAGAATTTTTGAGAAGTTTATAAAATTCTATAAGACAAACTATACCAACTTACAGGTTTTCGAATATGACTCTTGAAATATTCATACTTTTGTTTGTAATCTCTGGAATATGGTACAGCTTGGCCGGCAATATTTGGATTAGATAATCGTGGATCTTCCCACTGGGTGGTGCGAGTATCTACGAAATTATTCAATTTAATTGCAATATTCATATCTACATGTAGTTTTAAGAAATTATTTTCTAGTTCAATACTTACTATGATCAATGTAAAATACTCGTCCATCTGTATGAACACGTTCTTCCCAACCTTCCGGCAAGGGACCCAAGTCATCTTCAACTCTTCGTGTTTGATTTGGCATTGGGCTAGCACGACCATTCCTTGGATCTATCCATGTCGTACGCCGCGCAGCATGATCAATAAAGAAAGTTCTACCATTCGGTGCCACCTGCATTGACCAATTTGGCGGTAACGCGTCTTCTTCCGATCTAGGGGTGACCTACAAAAAAAAGAGAATTCAAGAAAAAATATATGTTAAGTTTTTTCAAGACTTACTGGAGGTCGGCCAGAGTCCGATTCATCCACACTAATGTGGAAACGTCGTTGAAAATCAGAAGCAGCCGCTTCAACGTTAACATTACTGTTGTTAGTTGCTGAGCTAATGTTAAAGAAGATTTGTTAACACATCTTCATATATTAAAAAAATTGTATTGAGTAAGTAAATAAAATTTCAATATTTTTTGTATAAGCTTATTGAAAAGTTAAATATAATTATTTGGAAGGATAATTTAAGGATTTACTAAATGTATTACAATACTTACACTAATGGGCGTTCCCACTGGGTAGTCCGTGCAGTATGATTAACATAATAAGTTCGTCCGTTTGCGTCTTGCCTTTCTTCCCAGCCCGACGGTAATGGCTCGTGGTTAACACTGGAGGGAAATTGTCCCTAAATAAAAAAAGTAAACATTAAACATAAATCAGATAAATATGCAATTTACTTTTACCGTTGGAGTTTCGCCCATCCGTGAGACAGTTTCCATATGTTCCCACTCTCCGTCAACGGTGTCACTTTCACTATTCTCCCCTGTTTCATGTATAAATGCATGATATATCTCTAGTGTGCCTTTTATCCGTGACTTTGCGCTGCTTGAATATTAATGTGCATATTATAACATTGATATGTATGTATATATGTATATTTTATTTCATTAAAATAAAAACTTTCGAAAAATATTGTGGTTAAACAAAAATAACAAAAATTAAATTTTAATATATGTATAAAGAAACGAAAAACAGCAGCATTTCGGTGTAAAAAATACAGTTCACTCCAGTGCATCTTCTTTAATTCAAAATAAAACGAATAAAATATAATTGTGTAAAAAATGAATTTAACATACCCTACTGACCTTCTCGGTCTTAGTGAATAAGATTGTGGGCTTATAGTGGTGTCTTCTTGCTCTGTAGGTAAGTTATTGAGCGTTAGTTCAACCATGCCCAAAAAGTCATCACGGGTTAAACGATTTTCGTCAAATACTTGAAACACTAATTTGTGCTCGGAAGGTTTGACCTGAAAAAGGATAACGACATTGTGCATAAGTACAACTTTAATGTAGTTTTTTTCACTAAAAAGTTAATTTACCCTGAATACGAATTCTTCATTCCAGGTAGGATTGAGTGTCTAAAATACAAAGATTAGTTATACAATAAGTATATAAGATAGTTCTTAAAAAATTGTTAACTACCTTCTTTTTGGTCTTCGTTAAAACGGAATCTATATTTATATCACCATTAATTGTATTTAAATCAATCCTTACGTATGGGTCACTAAAAGAAAAATATATTTTTTCAAAAGAAATTTAAGTAACATAAATATTTTTGATAACAAATATCGCATAAAAGTAATTTCAAATCATGGGAACATATAAATAGTAGAAGGCAATCCTTACCTTGCCCCAAATATATCCTTTTTTGCTAATGATTTTCCATTAATGATTATAATACGTAAATGGCATGTATCACTTGAGTCGTTCTAAAAAAATAAGAAAAAGAAGGTCCATTCATAGAAAAGTACCACATACTTTATTAGCTTTATTAAATTAAAATATTTTCATCCATAAAAAAATTTAAATTTATTAATCTAACTAATACTAATTATCTAAAGAAATAAATGTAACTATAGTCGTAACTATACACTTGTTGAAAGCAAATAATGGTGTAGGAGTAAAATAATAAGTGGTTCTCTATTGTGAATGAATCACAATTTTCACAAGAACTAAAGATTTGGGATAAGTTGATAAAAAGAAACAAATGATTTTAAAGTCTTGAACTTCTAATATACTAATTATTTAGCAATAACACATTTATTTTAACTTACATCATGATAACCATGAATTTGCTCATTCGCCGCCGCCTCAGCCATATTTAAAACAAAAAATTAATATATAGTACTCTTTACAACGCAATGCAAACACCAGTCAATTATAGATTATTTAAGTTCTTCGTATACGCTCTCCAAACCACCAATGCTATAACTTTTACTAACTAATAAGTTACACCAATTTGTAATTTAATTAAAACCGTACTTTGCATTTAGTTTAGGTTTCATACTAATAGGTTTACGATATTTTCAATAACTAATTGGCCACTGTAGTATTTTTTTAACAAAGCCAAGAGACATTTCATATTCGCAAAAAAATATATTCATACGCCTTTACTATAAATATGTGGAACTTATGCAAAGCACTTGGCCTGACGGTGTAATTGATTTATAACAAACACGTTGCAAAATTTACGCCCAAAATTAATTAAACATTGCTCATTTATTACTTTCGTTGTGCAAATTATCATCTGACAACCTACCGCGGCATACCCACACAACAACACTTTAGTAAACTTCACTTTCTTGAACAACCTGCCAATTATGCATTTCACAAGTGTAGCCACTTTTTACAATGTATTCAACATGGAGGATTTTTGAAATAAGCCCAGTTCTTTGTATGATATATAGATATCATGTCATTTTCAACAAAAGAAATTAGCATTTCGTTATAAGCAGTAAAGGTTTTTTAAAAATCAGTGACGATACAGCAGTTCCTTCGATTCGGCTGCTTAAAACAGTGTTCCTTTTATTTTAAAACTGTTGTTCAATTTTCTTAGAAAAGATAGTATAATTCTAATTATTATAAAGAATTTGGATTCGTAGCATCAAAACATCACTACATAAGTACGATTTGCTAAGTTATTTGTTTAGGCAAATTATAAGTACTTCTGAAAAATTTTAATACAAATATTTTTTAATTTGTTCTATTTTACTGAACGCGCTCTTTCCAGATATTTGAATGCAGTAATCAATAAAAAACTCAAATTTGACATGTTATCGAAACGCGTTAAAATTGAAAAATATCGAAAATTCGCTGCAATAACATAAATTTCTTCTCTAGACAAGGTTATTGTGTGTGTTTGGCGAAAATATATATTTCGATCTTAAAAATATAAAATAAATAGATAAAAGTATCAAAATGTCGGCCACGGATCAAATGAGGGCAATGCTTGATCAGTTAATGGGCACAACTCGGAATGGAGATGATGGACGCGGTCTTAAATTTTCTGATGCCCGTGTGTGTAAAAGTTTTTTGCTAGATTGTTGTCCCCATGATATTCTTGCTTCAACTCGCATGGATCTTGGAGAGTGTCCAAAAGTTCATGATTTGGCATTTAGAGCTGATTATGAAAGCGCAGCCAAATCGCATGACTTTTACTATGACATAGAGGCGATGGAGCATTTACAGGCTTTTATTGCCGATTGTGACCGTCGCACAGAATCTGCTAAACAGCGACTTAAGGAAACACAAGAGGAATTAACTGCTGAGGTGGCTGAAAAAGCAAATGCAGTACATGCATTAGCTGAAGAAATCGGCAAAAAACTGGCTAAAGCCGAAGCGCTCGGGGAAGCTGGAGAAGTCGAAGAAAGTATGTCTTTGATGAAGGAAATAGATGAATTGCGAACTAAAAAAATTAAAGCAGAACACGAGTATCGTACATCAATGCCTGCATCAACGTATCAACAGCAAAAGTTGCGTGTATGTGAGGTTTGTTCTGCTTACTTAGGTATTCATGATAACGATATTCGACTAGCTGACCACTTCGGTGGTAAGTTGCATTTGGGATTCCTTACTATTCGTGAAAAGTTGGTAGAATTGGAAAAAACTGCAGGTCCACGTAAAGCAGAACTTAAACGAAGCGGAAAAATTAATGAACGCGGTGATGATAGACAAAGATCGCGATATTTTGTAGGTGGTCGTGAATTAGATCGACGTTCTCGTGTACATAGGTCCAGATCTAGAGACCGAGCACGCCGTAACGAACGTGGAGGTGGAGCAAGTAGTTCTGATAATAGATCAGAGAGACGATCAGAAAAGGACAAAGAAAGGGAAAGAGATCGTGACCGACGAGTAAATGCTGCTTCTCCTGTGAGGGAAGAAAGAAAACGGTCAAGATCACGATCGCGTGCACATAACTACAGTTCTAGACGGAGGTCACATTCGCGGGAACGTCATCGTCGTTAAAAACAGATTTTGTTGAAAACGGAATTACATCTGTATCCTACAACATCATCATATGATTTAAATGTGTACATGACGATTCCGGTAGCACGTATGTAATTAATAAAAATATTTTCCGCATTTTATTATGTATCTAATCATAAATTCGATTGAATGTTTTCTTTTTGCGATTTCTTGAATAAAATCTCTTTCTCGATTATAGAAAAATATCATAAACCGCCATTGTTCAGATTTTGGTATGTAAAAACTTACTGCTTATAAAATAAAATATAAGTACGAAAATAGTAAACTTATCTAGGTAAACTAATGACTGACCAGAACAGTAAGCTGAGTGGACTATTTCAGACCCAGGTGTCACGAAAGAGCGTGGTCTTATGATTTCAGTACTTATGGTTCACAAATTCACATTCTAGTTAAAATGATTTGTCTTGGTACATATTTTACTGATGGTATGTAGTAACTTCAAATACACAAAAATTTATTATGTAAAATGATTTTAACATCATTAGCATTGTCACCGGCTACCTAATTGAACTTAAACCAAATTCAACATAGTATCCTCTTTCCTGGGAATTTGGGTATGTATTTGAAGTACAACAGTTATTTGAAAATAACTGAGTTTTTTTGTAGCCCCCATCTATGAAATATTAATATGGTTGGGAAATGAAATACCTGTCTTATTGCGTATAGAGTTTTTAACAACCTGTGGATAAGAAAATTCTAATAAATGTTACAATTCAATTGGCCCTGGTATGTATTTAAGTATGTATTTTGTACAACTTTTCAAATATACATAAATCACAACTATTATAAATCTGGTTTTCTCTTTAATCGTTTTCTGCTATTGTAAACTACTTGAATGCGATAGGAGACGTAAAAGATATATTTAGTAGTTTTAATTGAAGAAAGCAAGATAATATAATTGGATGCCTAAAACCCAGTTGATTACCTAGATGACAAAATATAAGTATTTTTATTCATAAATCATCACAATGGAACAATTTTTGATGTGAGTAAATATAGAAAGACAAAATGAAAATGGTAAGCTTGTCCACATACAGATATATTAAACACAGGAAATTAATATCCAGTTTATTACAAAATTTATGAGCAATTATCTTGGCAGTTTTAAGTCGATAACTTCCGTGACAAATATAAGTCTGTATGCAATATGATATATACCCATTCGAATACTGCTGAATTCATTGTACAGAAAATGTTGTGGTTTTGCTTAAGGAAAAACAAAGAAGAAGTACTTAGATGACCAACATCCTGCGGATACACACAACTATTTAAAAAATATACATCCCATCAAATTTAATACGTGATTTACCAGTGATTCAATAATGAAATCATTGGAATCAAGTATTAAGTAAATAAATTTCTTATATATATTACTTATAGCTCAGTTACCGGGCGTCGTGGCATCTATTTGATTGTTAAGAGTGTTAATAATTTCCATAAATAAATTATAAAAAAATTAATGAATTTAAATTATATCTGCTCATTTACGAAAGTAAAATATGGCAACCATGAAGACTTGCAAGAGCTATTAGCTGGCACGGTTTCACTGAAAACTACGAACTGTTGCTTTATTTTCTATTCTTGCCATATTAGGCCAATTCACCTAAAACTTTTGCTTCGCTTTGCGTTAGACATTTGCTTTGAAAGAAATGTTTGAAGTACACTTTTGAATTGTTTTATGTACATTCGCACAAAAAGTTTTCGAAGCGAAGCAAAATATAAGGCAACAGTCATCTTTTTTCGCCAAGCAAATGTTGCCATATTCATCAAAGAAAAACACTGGGAACAAAGCGTTTATTGTTTTAGTATTATTGTCGCTCAAAGCGAGGAATGTTAGGGTGACAATATCAACATAAATACCAGAATTGCTTACTACGCTGCAATGCCTCAGTTAGTGACTGACGCAAGACCGCGGAACCAGCTGAATCGACCTATCTTAAGGGAATACAATTTAAATGAATAGTTATCACCGCTTCTGCGGTCCGTGTACGTGGAGTGAGCTGATTGTTCGCTTACAACATAGGGCCGCTATTTTAGATATTTTGACTTAAATTTTTTTGAAACGTTCTTAAAGTAACTCATAGTCAGAGTCGAATTCATATTATTATTCATAAATAGGTAGACCATTCTTTAATAGTTGGATTTTGGTTTTGATTTTTTACAATTGAGAAATTAAAGTGTGCAAAATTCTGTAAATAGATTAAGTCAGTCTGCAGTTCAGACCTTGGATAAAAATACGAGTCAATGAGAGTATTTTACTTGACAGTGCCAAAAGTTTGATATCATACATGTCATACTTATTCCGTATACGCGTAAGCAAGTAACCAGTCTCAACATTACGAAAATACTAACTAGACCATAATCAATGCTTGATTGATGATATATTAAACAGCCTTAATATAAAAGTTTGTAAACTCTTAACTTAAATATCAGATGTTTAAAAAAAGTTCTGAATTTTAAATACTTATATCAGGTAAAAATTTTATATTATGCTTGGCCACTATACAAATAACAATTAAATGTATTTTATTTAGAAAATTKTGTTTCCTTACGCTAAATATAATTTGTTCTTGAGGCACATTTTTTTGATGTTGCTTGTTTTTGAGTTGCAGCTTGTAAGGAACATCATAAATGGCGAATTTTCCTACTTTAGGTGCTCAGCAAGGTGAAATATAATTTGAGAAAATAAATATCCTGAGGTTAATTTTGCATTGTGCTTTCTTGCGAATTAGAAACTAATCGTAAAATTCTGGAAGATCTACAGTTAAAAAAACAACTTTTACAGAAAGGGAACATTCCAGGATTAGGTACTGGAATATCCACCAATACGCTTTACCAGGTATATAAGTTGTATTTTATAAAATAAGCATATGGCCAAACATGTTCGTCTGTTGTTAAATTATAGATTCCTGCGAGCCAATTATTACCATCGTCAGATTTTTCTCAAAGTAGCGGATTGGCAAACGCGCCTCGTTCGGTGTTTAATGCAACTACATCAACAACGTTAGGGTATTTCGTCTCCCAGGACTCTTACTACGGAAATACATTCATACCTGTGCTACCACGACTCGACCCAGTACCTTTGAACTAAAAAAATGGCTTGTATAAAGCTAAAAAAGTTGGAGGAGTACTTACATGGAGTAGATACATTTGGAAAGCCTAAAATCAAATTAGAACAATACATAACACCGCCCCATATAGCTAGTTGCGTGCTTTATAACATTCAGGTCAAGATCAAAGCCAAACAGCTGCTGAGAAATAAGTAAGAACACAACCACCACGTTGAAACTTTTTATTTGGGACATAATTCATGAGGATAGTTTTGTCTTACCAATGACTAAAAGTTGCCTGAAAGATATCTCAAAGATTTGCATGCTATATGTTTCAACATATTTTATCATATTTTGTTTCTAACTACTAACTTTTAATGATTAATTAATTCCACCGTTTAAGGAAATACGAGTACATTAATGTCGTGGTTGTGTTCCTTCTCAGTTTGTTTAATATTTCACACTTGAAGTTGAGAATATTTTGCTTGAATGAATTTAATTTCTAGACACTATACGGAGATATTGAAGGAAAATATGTAGGAGACTTAGGGTGTGGAAGTGGTATGCTAAGTATCGGTTCATTTTTACTTGGTGCTGGCATGACCACAGGTTTTGAAATCGATGACGATGCTCTAAATGTAATTAGCGTAAAACAGAAATTGAAAATATATGTACATGTAATAATTGTGAGTTTGTCCTATTTTTTTTTTTTATAGATGTTTCAAACCAATGTAACAGATATGGAATTGCCTGGTATAGATTGTGTTTTATGTGACGTACTAACGTTGTCTAGCAATGAAAAATGGGAAAATGCTTTTGATACAATTGTTACCAACCCTCCGTTTGGGACGAAAAATAATAGTGGAATCGATATGTTATTTGTTCAGAATGGTGTTTATCTAGCTTCTGGAGCAGTTTATTCATTTCACAAAAGTTCCACACGGTATATTTACAGATAATCATATTTATGCTCATGTCTTTGAGTTTTCTTTAGTATGACCTCAAAATATATACATTTTTAGCGACAGCATCGAAAACAAATATTTACTAATTATTTGTATGTATTTACTGTGTTATTCATTTTATTTTCACAGGGACTACATTCATAAAAAGGTTAAGGATTGGAACGTAAAAGGSAATGTGGTCGCGGAACTGAAATATAATATTGACACCAGTTATTCCTTTCACAAAAGCAAAAGCGTTGACATCAATGTGGACTTTTGGAGATTCGATGTATCTGAGAAAAACCTTTGATTCGATTCACTCCATAAAATACTTTGAATTTATTCTTTCATTTATTTCAAATACCAAGAAAATGTATACATAAKTGTATGTACGTTTGTGTTTATGTTAAAACTAGTGTTTCTGATCACCCGCTTATAGCATTTTTCGAAGCATTTACAAAAATATCAAAAACTATTTCACTGATRACGGGAAATAGTATTTTTAACAATAACATTTCCTAGAATTTTCTATATACAAATGTACCAATTCAGATGGCTAATAAAGACGATTATTTTTAAACAGCTATTATACAGGTACAAGCTAGTGTAAATAATAAGCAAAATATACGTATACATGAAAATAATTTTAATTTAAAACAAGCTTTCAATTCATTTATTTTTTTGTAGATAATATGGCATATGTGCCCACATGCAGTCATTTCAATTAAAATTTGGATAAGACAATAAAAAAAATTTATGAAATCAACTTAAGCAAACTAGAAAACTCGTAATACATCAACATTCTATTGCTTCATGAATATATTCCATTATTCTTAACAGCTTTTCTTTCAATCCATTAAACTCATTTATTATTTGCGGCTAATATGTTTAAATAATATATGTATGTACACACATGCAGTTGTTTCAATTAAAAATTTGGATAAAACAAAAACAAAAAATAATGACATTGATCTAAGTCAACAAAAAATTAGGCAATACATATACGGTTACTTGTAGGAAATTTTTGTTTAACGAATATGTTTCATTTTTCTTAACGTAGGCTTTTCTTCTAAAAGAACATTTAGTTATACTAAACTAAAACCCTGAGTTTGTTGAATAGCCTGAAGCAATTTGTATTTTAAACGCTCTTTAGTCTTGTACTGAGGCAAATCTAATAGATTGAAGCAAGTGTGGGCTACAGGAAGGAATCGTTCATCATTTGTTGGCTGTATACAAATCTGAAAATAAATAAAATTAGTATYTAGCTCAATAAAAATAGCACTAGTCTACTTTGATCGCTTTCATTCCTTGAATGGGAATTCGGTCGCTTCCAGTCAAATATAGGAGAAACTTTTTCTTTTCACTCTCCGGCAACTCGTGGAATACTTCCCAAAACCATCTTATCTACAAGGGAATTATCAGCAGAAGCATGTCATACAACAATTTCCCTATTCTATATGAGTGTACTAACTGTTTGGTCGCCAGAATTGTAACCGTTTTTGTATTCACATTGTAGCTCGAGAGCTTGCCAGTCGTATTCCTCGTTTCCCACAACCACAGCCATTAATTCATCAGGTTTGAAAATTTGTAACACTCGTCCCCAACAAACCTTTTAATTGTTAATATACATTATTGTAATGAATATGTATTAATTTTCTGTTTACCTTCATAAATCCTTTTCGAAAAGCTTTAAATTGAGTTTCTACCGCTTTGTTAAATAGAAAATCAACATATAAATCGACAAACTCCTTTCTGTAAACATTAAACGTATATGAAGTCAATATATACGTATATACTACGAATTGAAAATAATTTTAGTAAAAAAAAAAAGGTGAATAACTAACTTATTTTCCAAAGTGACTGGTGTTTGGCTGCCATTTGGTTTCAATTCCTCCGTTTGTGACTCACCGAAAATATCGCGAGATATTTCAAAATTTAAATTAAACACTTCCTCAAAATCGAGTTCCTCGTATTTTAGTATGGCCTCCATAGAATTTGCTAACGTTGGTGATAAATCACGCAAGTCAGTTAAATCGACAGGTTCATCTAGCAGTTTTTTATATAACGCCAACGGGAATGGTAGATTTATAATTATAAAATTATATATTGCTAAGCCGCAAATTACTCCAATCAAGAAGTACATATCATCTGTTTCAAATGTAACATCTGCAAACCAAAGTACGTGTGAGTCTTCATATTCTTTGAACATTCCATATTTCGGATCCAAGAGGTCCCTTAATAAAAGCATGAAAAATTCTTTTCGCACACCACCGGCATCTTCGGCCTCCTCCCCATGGAATTTGATCTATTATAATTGAAATAAAATTATACGTAACAGCATTACATTTTTCATTTCTATTAGAATTAAGTTGGCTTAAATTACCTTAAGGGGCTTTTTCAAGTCACTTTGATTATACTGCATAATTTCCCGTAAAGTGTCTTGCACTAGATTCTCACGTGAAACATTTAGCACAATAAATTGCGATATAGGTGTTCCAAATGTAAGAAGCGAGAGCATTCCCTAAAAATATTGTTAAAACTAAAAATTAACCGTTATTGCCACCAAAATGAATTTTGAATTTACCGAATTAGCAGCATTTTGCATGGCGGTGTGCATTTGTATGGCTTGATCTGTTTGTAAAAGTGTGGTTTTAGCAGATGCGTTGAACAAAAACGGATAATTACAGATGTTAAAAGCTTCAGGCTGCAATAGACATTTATCAAAATGATAAGTTTTAATCATTAATTTCGTGTACTCAGTAGGGGATATTTTCACTTACATTTTTTTCGAATAGCCAATGTATATAGTCTTGTTGGATATCAACGTAATCTGTCAGCTCTGGCCAGTGAAAAATATCACAATCGATTTTTTCTAAACGCTGTTTGTGATTTATTTTATGTAGCACGACTAAGAGGTTTAAAGCCGCTGACAAATTGGAATTATAAGTAACTAACTATATGTGAATGAAAAAGTTTAAAAATGATGTAAAAGTTGATGTTATAATTAATACTGGTTACCTTCTTTTCAAAGTTGTTTCCAGAGTTTGCAGCAATTTTAAAACTGATTATATGAGCTACCACGTTTTTGTAGTTCGATACCAGGTTTTCGAACCAGTCTATCGGTGTCTCTGCCCACCACATCACAACAATTTTTCTGGGTATTTCTTTAAGTCTAAGCACAGCATTGCTGAAGGGTGTATGTAATGTTTCATAATTTTTAGAATTGACAAATTCATGATATAATGGCAAAATCAGATAAAGTCTCAAAGTTTCAACGTCTGCTGGCGATGGCATGAGTGATGCAATTATTTCATTGCATATTTTGTCCCAAATCTAATATGGATTATAATATACACAATATCTGATGAAATTACATCCTTGCATTGAAGTTACTTACGATTTGCTTAATGCTTTCATGTTCCACTTTGCGTATGAAGTCAAAAGTTTGTTTAACTTGTAGCAAATCTACGCCGGGCTGTTTTGAGGTACAACAGAAATGCTTATTTTCTATCAAAAATGATCCGTTGAGGCAAGCTTGGCTTTTAAATATCACTTCAATGGTTGTTAATAAGTCCATATCAATCGACGAATCCTTCTCCACCATAGCACACTGTTCCGCTAGCTCCCTGGTCAGGCACATAATTTGAGTCCGTCGTCTGGAAAGCATTGACATTAATAAACGGCGTTTAAATGTTGACTTAAAATTATATATTTACTCGCTAATTCGATAATCCGCGGCAGGAATTTTATCACCGACTTTTGTGGTCAAAACAAATGAGTGATTGCCACCACAAAAGATTTGTCGTACTAAGAGGGAGTCGTCTATATTTTCTTTGGTATCAGTATCTACTAGTTTAGAGCTATAGGGAGAAACCTGAAATTGGAGACACTACAGTTTTATTGGAATGTTCACATAACTAAGGTATATATAACAAACCCACGGTCCAATTATAACATGCGGTACAGTACAGCTATTCATTTTACTTGTGTCAAAATTTGCCATACAACCCAATCCAAAACCGTACACCCGCCCTCGAGAAGGCACTAATGCCAGAGTATGTTGCGCACCACACGAGATTTGAGTGATAGTACTTCCCATTAACTCTGATACTTTGCGAGGCAGTACTTCGTTCAAGTTACCACCATGTCCAAGTTGACCGTGTGACCCTTTGCCACATGTAAATACACCACCGTCGTTAGTCAAAAATACGGAATATTGTTCTCCACATGCTATATAACGCACGCATAGGCTACGAAGTGTTCTCAACTGTGTTGGAAAATGTCGATGAGTACAGTCGTTGAGTCCCAGTTGCCCATAATTATTGCGTCCCCAACCAAACACAGCACCAGATTTCGAAATTATAAATGAATGATTGCCCCCGCATGCTATAAAAGCTATAGGTATGCCAAGCAATGATTCCACCAGGCGAGGAGATGTGGAGTGGGCTAATTCATTCGGCGGTGATATGCCCAACTGACCATAAATGTTTGAACCCCAAGCGTATAAAGCACCACCTATAATCGCCAATGGAAAATATATTATAATAATATAATTAAATATAAGTGTTTAATTTTTTACTAACAATTGGTTAACGCAAGGCTGTGATTATAGCCACTGGAGATTTGAATAACAGTTTGGGCAGCAAGCTTTTTCACAATTTTTGGTGAACGTACAACATCGGACGAATCTGGCAGCGCCAATTGACCATAGTCATTATGTCCCCAGCTGTAAATCTGACCCCATTCACTTAGTGCCAAAGAATGTCTAGCGCCACAACTTAAATCCGTAAAGACAGTATTTCCAAGGTCACTTATGATTACTGGAATATGAAAGCTTGTTTAGTTTGTTGTTGAAATTGCATCTATTCTCTAAATAAGTGTTTGGAAAAGTTAATTGCGGTTTCAGATAGTGTAATAAGCAACATAACTAGGAAAGAATGTGAAGGAAGAGATATGGGGTTATTGTGGTTTTTAAGAACATATATGTATTTTATTTTCAATGATACGTTGTTGAATTGTTTCTTTTGTTAGTAATATACATATATAAGCTACTAATCCTTGTTAGAAATAGGAAACACAGTTTTTCAATCACAACTTTGGATGACCTAAGCCTTGATTCAACTATTGTCATTTGTTATACCACGCACCTGCATACCCAGCTATGGTGCTAACATTGCTAAAAGTTGTTGAACAATACGTTCAAGGGAAATATGGAAAGATTAAAGTTTTTATATCACATACGTGGCCGCTTTGTCATCTGTTGGTGACCCAATTGACCATAATCATTACATCCACATGAATAAACTTTTCCGTCTTCCGTTAAAAACAAGGTATGTTTGAGTCCGCATCCTATGCTCACTACAGAACTTTCTGGATGCCAGGGAATTTCACGTGGTTCCAATATCTAAGAAATATATGTATCACTATAATTTCATTTTCAAGATAATTAACTAACCTCTTCGTCTTCTATGCCGCCCAGGCCGAGTTCGCCATGCGCTGTGTTACCCCAGCAATATATTGACATGTTGTGTATTTGCCGATTATTTTGAAGTGAAAAAATTACTTTTATGATAAAATGTAGATAACATTTTCCACAGAGCCTTTTTGTTATATTATATTATGTGCACTGCTTTCTTCACACCAATGTTAT